GCATCTCCAATCCCTTGCTGCGTCCCCCTAATGAATTTGTAGGTGGCCACAAGATCACCTCTCAGCCTTCTCTTGCAGAGGCTAAAGAGGTCCAGATCCCTCAGTCTCTCCTCATAGGGCTTGTCCTGTAAGCTTCTAACCATACGAGTGGCCCTGTTCTGGACCTCTCGAGTCTATCAACATCCTTCTTGAAGTATGGTGCCCAAAACTGGACACAGCATTTCAACTGCAGTCTGATGAATGCCACATAGAGGGGGTGTAGTTACATGTTATAATTAGCATGTGTAAAAGTTAGGTGGCATTCAAATTAGATTGTTGTCCAAGCACATTAAGAGTTCCACATTAATGGTTAATACCCTCTCTAACCTGCACTTCTTGGACTTGCCACAGGAGAGCTAGTGAGCAGGTGCATGACTAGAAGCTGCCAAGTCTGCCCCTGCTTGCCAGCCCCCCAGCAGACCTCCTGTCTCCCTCCTGGCCCCTCAGGTTTACCCCTGGCCCTCTCTGACAGGGCTCTTTCCTGGCTCCCTGCTCCCCTGAAACTGCTGTCCCTGGAGTGAGTGAAGCTCCTATGTCACTCCAGAGCAAGGGCAGGCAATTATTTTGGGTGGAGGGACACTTGGCAAGCTGTCAAGGGCCACATGGGTAGCCCCGTTCCTTGACAGGTGCCCCACCCCTGTTCACCATCTTGGAACTGGAAGTCCCATCCCTAACCTCTGCTTTTGCCACTGGAAGTCCCTCCCCTTGCCCCTCGATGTACTTTTTTTGGGAAGAAGGTTTGCCACCTTAGGGGGAAAAAAAACAAATTACATACTAAAAATCAATCATCCATAATAATATATTTTAATTTAATTTGAAAATATATTTTTGTCCTGATTTGTGGGCATTTGTGGTGTACATGCAGAAGTGATTGCATATGGGGGTTTGTGTGGATGTGTGTGTGTGTGTGTGGGTATGGATGTGAGTATGGGAGCCATGTAGTGCAGAGTGGCCAGTCAGGAAAGTGGGGAAAGCGGCAGGGGGGAGTGGAAGTGAGCGGGAGTGTGGGGCCTGTGCCAATGTCCCCCCCTGCTGGCCAGGCCCCTGCGCTCCAACTGCCCCACTCTGGGCCCCGCCGGCACTGGCCCTGGGATACCGATGTGGGCCCTACACTCCCGCCTGGCTGACGCTGGCTCCCACATACTCGTTCACTCCCAGTGCCCCTGCCCTAGCCCTGAACCACAGGCGGGGAGCAGTGTGCAGCCCTGACCCCGCGCTCGCCTGCAGGGAATGAGCTAGTGCTCAGCATGGGGGAATAACGCACCCCCCGCCCCCTCCCCCATGGCCAGTGCCCCGTGCTGCAGCCGCTCACAGCCTGCATGGGGCTGCCCTGCCTGTTCACTGCATCATCGCCACTCCCATGGGGCAGCACCATGCATGTGCTAACTTTGATACCAACACTCCTTAGAGTTAGCACTAACAGCACCTAAAAAATCATGTCATAGATGTGCTCAAGCAAGTCCAGGACTCACACTTGACAATCTTCAGATACAGCGTCTATGGTGTGAGATTCAGTCTCATTTATACATAGATATATTATTCCTCTGACTGCTGTTATAACTATGATGGTCCAGGAAATGCATGAAAAGTAAAGGGTTGTTTATGATATCTTTTATTGGCCCAGCTGTATAGTTGGGAGAGATGTTGGACAAGTTTGGGGCACAGAGGGCACTGGCAGATGTGCAGGTTCCCCTCTAACTCATAGTGCTTTACATAAAGTGCCATGAATTAGAATGCCTCCCCACACACACGCAACCCAACAGATGTTTGCCTGTTGAGTCGGGGTGGGGGTGGAAATTGAACCTGCCTGGAGGAGCCCAAGGAGTCTGCCTGCAGCCAAGGAATCATCCCACTTCCCCAGTCCCACCCTGACCCACCTCCCAGGGGCAGTGAGCTTTCAGTTGGAGTTTGCCTGGCCCGAGCTAGAAAAGAGGGGACTGGGGTGGGGGAGGGGGACAGGGAGTATGAGGCAGTGGGGCTCCACTCCACCCCACTCCACTCACCACACCCAGCTCAGGCCAGGCAAATCCCAGCCAGCAGCTTGCTCTCCCTTCCCCCTCCCTGTCTGCTGACACACCTGGGTGCAGGCCAGGGCCAGGCCAGGCCTGATTTTGCCACAAATTAACCCTTGGGAACAGAAGTTCCCTAAGGTGTTCCAAAGTGGAGCACCTTCATCTGTTCCTTCATTTAATGATGGTTTATTTGTCTCACAATCAGCCACTTCTAAAGCACTCTGCAGCTGTGCATGTGTGTTAGGGCATAGTTGGCGAGCAGGGGTTTTCAACCTTTTTTAGTAAGTGTACCCCCAGTGGCCGGACATGGGGGGGAGGGAGGAAGGTGGTACATGGCTGGATGCAGAGTAGCAGTAGCCACTGCTGCATGTGAGCTTCCCCTTCCCCCCATGTCCAGTCAGCCAGGCACTGCCTGCTCAGCCCGCACAGGGCTGCCACTATCCTGACCCCCCCTGGCCCTGCTCCTGGGAGGCAGAGGCATGGGGAGCTAGGTGGCGGCACTCTGTCCCTGCCCACCTATGCATACCCCCTAGGGCCCTCCCAAGTACCCCTGGGGGTATGCATACGTACCCCTGGTTGACCACCCCTACTGTACAGCACATTCAGAGGGCCGAATACATGACAAATGTAACTTCTGTCTGCACCCATAGTGCCCTTCGTTAGATCTGGGGAAGAAGCAGATGTAGTCTAAGTTAACAATGTCATGTGTTTAACTCCACATAAATGAAAACAGTCACCTATAGCAGCAGTTCCCAATCTGTCAGTCTGTGGTACAGGTACCACCAGTAGTACACAGACAACCTGTCAGTGGTACACGTTAATAGATCTATTATAATTACTTTATATGACAAAAATTTGCTGGTGGTACTTAAGGCTGTATCATTTTAAATTGGTGGTGCACAATCTATCAGAGTTTGGGAACCATTGACTTTTAGGAATGAAGGATGGTTGTGAAACAGTATGCAAGAGAGAGAAGGAATGAAGAGAGACAATCACCAGTAAATGGTTCTCACGGGATGATGATGGTTCTCACATGAAAACCATTCCCTTTCTGGCCTCACAATCCTTAAACTCAAGGGAAGCCTATAAAACACCTTCAAGAGAGGCCTGGGAACAAACTTTCCTAACCTTCCTGGACACTAAAAAGCATGTCCTGAACAAAGACTTTGTGACTCTCAACAGTCTACCTACTATCTCTGCTGTTCCCTCTGCAATCTACAGGTAATAACAACCCAACCCTCTTACCTCTTGAATGGTCTTGTTTTTCTACTTCATTAAATAATTTTTTAACTGCATTTCCCTTTGCTCCTACAATTACAGACCAATTCATCAGCCACTCTATCAACCCTGCGAAGGAAGTAAAAGAGTATGGACACAAATACATTTGGAGCTGTTTCAAAAGGCCAGCAACCATTATGCTCTAGTTGTTATGCATGAACAAGGCAGGAATAGTACAAATAGAACAAAACCACTCTGACTTCAGCACTAACTGAAATAGTGCTAAAGTTGGGTTTACAGCTAGCTTGATTTTCTTTGAAAATTGAATCTCTCTGAAGGAGGGGTTCTCATGCACTTTACAGAAAAAAGACAGAATCTGAAATATAAATGCATTAGGAAAAGATTAGTAAGGGAAAAATAACAATTTCCATTTTAAAAAACCTGGTAAACTTCACCCTGAGATTATGGGAGAGTACTCAGATAAGCAGTTAAGAAGTCAAATAAAAGGTAAAACATAAAGAATCTTTTTTTTATCTGACACCATATTAATGATACAGTATTTTTGATTGTTAATAGAACAAACATGGTTATTTCCAGAAACTACCTGGAGCTAATTGCCAGTTCAATTGAAGACTGGGTGATGAAGGAAGAAGCCAAATACCAGCAAGAAAAAATGACTAAGGAACTAAAAGCCTTAACATTTGCTGAAGTAACAGCAGAAAGACCTTCTGAAACTAAATCGTCTACCTCTGCTGTCAGAAAAACTGGTTCTCCCAAGAAAATCAAAAGTAGGTGTGTTTCTATTTTGACATAGTAAACTATTTCCAAACACTCAGTGCTAAAACCCGAACTTGTTTAGAGTAATATCCTGAAAATTTTCAATGAGAACCAATTTTCACCATATGAAGGCATGTGAAAATGTTTGATGGTAAATTATGTTTGCTTACATTTTAAAGTACTGTATTTACTCAACTAGAAGATGATGTTTCCCCCCACCCATTTAACATGTGGGGGGTGGGAAGCCCCTCATCTCAGAATTGTGTACGAGGTGGCAGGGGACAGACAGCTGCTGCAGTTCCAACTCCAACCCCAGCCCTGAGTCAGGGCCAGAGCTGCAGCTGCTGCCTGCCTCACACTGCCTCTGCACCCCTCATTGCTCCTTCCTTGGAACCTTGGGCCCCCACTGCAGCCAGTCTACATCCTGTCCCACTGTTTCTTCCCCCCACCATGGCATTCCCCCTTACCTTTGCTCTGATGTTAGCAGGCTCTGTCCTCGCTGTAGCCTGGAGCATAGAACATGGTCCCAGCCCAGCCCTGTAGCAGTAGTGTTGGCTCCACACCACTGCTATGGGGCCAGGCTGGAGCTGTTCTTAGTGCCCAAGGCTGCAGTGGAGAAGGACCCTGCTGGCATGGTAGTAAAGATGAGTTGTGGTGGAGGGGTAGGCAGGGATTAGAGACTTTTGGGAAGGGGAAGAACTGAGGCTGCAGGGGCCAGAAAGAGTATGGAGAATGTTAGACCCTAGCTCTATGCACCGCCCACCGTCTAGGGAGATGACGATCCAATTGTTCATGGATCCTGTTACTCATGAGCCAGAGCAAACAGGGAGCAAACACCAGCACACATTGCTCGGAACAGCTTTATTCATAATGGAGACGGCTTTGGGCCAGGTCCCTCACAGACACACAGCCTGTGAACCAGGGGACCTGCACTGAACATTGTTTTTTTTCACATTTTATACACCTTGGTTCATGCTCATTAACATTTACTCCACCTTCGCCCCTCCTTTGGTTCCACCCATATCTCCTCCTCTCTTAAGCTCCGCCTCTGTTTACTGTTTACTTTGTTAGCATGGAATTGCCTATGCATTTCATTCATTTACATGCCTCTCTGCTAAGAGTGCATGCTCAAGACTTTGATCCTGGCTTACTCTGGCCACTTGCTGGTTCTTTCTGGTTTCTTGCTGACTCCTTCTTTATCTCCAAGGTCTTACTTCTGCTTTATGTCCTGACGATAGCTAGTGGGCTGTATCTTGTTCTTCTTACACAGTGAACTATATATCTTTACAACACTACTCCATCATTAAGAAAATGCTTGCCTAAGCATTTGCAAAGTTACTTTTAATATATCATCCGGCCTTGTGACCAGCAGCTTTTGCTGAGACACAGATTAAAGCTTTTATTCAGCTGCAAATCCAGTGTTCCCCAAGATCCAAATGTGGTCACCCTAACAGAGAGCAAAGGGGGATGGAGGAAAAAGGTAGGGGGGGCAGGTGGCAGAAGACAAACTGCATATCTCCCCCACCACCTCCACACTACTTGCCCCCTAATGCCTGTCCCCCACTGCTCCATCCATTGCTTTTGCCCCCTTATTGCTTCTCCTACCGTTTGCCCCACCACCACCTGCCCTGCTATTGCCCGCCTCATTGCCTGTCCTCCCACCGCCTGCAGCAGTGCAGGGGACAAATTTAAAACAATCCTCTAATAATTATATACTATACATGGAAAATTATAATAAATTTATACATTTTCCATGTATAGAATCTTATTGTTGGGAAGTTATCAAATTCAGGGTCTTCTTAGATTTTGGAAAATATGGTAATATGTATGTATATCTACTTATGTTCAATGTTAACTTTGTCCTGCTGACTAAGAGTTAAATGTTGCCTTTAGTCACAATGCTATACATTTGAAATAACTCAGTTTACTTATTGGAATTACTCACAGGGGTAGATTTAAGGTTTTAAGAAAGATGCAGAATAATTGGAAGCAATGGGCACATCTACACATGCAAATAATCTGGGAGTAGCTTACTCTTGAATAAATTATTTGAAAGTAAACTTTCCCAGGCACATGTCTACACATGCAGGAATGTGGGAGCAGATTTGCTGCTCCTAGCATCAGACTGCTCCCACTCCCTGTGTCCTTGCAATGGCCCCCTGCAGCAGCCACAGGGAGCTCTAGGCTCCCCCTGGGTGCTAACCCAGGGACCAAGAGACAGCTGTCTCCTGGCAGGGGCTGGGACATTGCTCCCTGCCCCGGGAGCTGTCTACTACCAGGGTGGGCTCTGCCACTGGAGCCCATGTGGGGACAATGTCCCCCTGCCCCAGCAGCAGGGAGCTCCCAGACTCCACTTCATGGTTCAGGGCCAGCACTGGGAAATCCTTATCTCCCAGCCCTAGTCCTGTGGTCTCCTTATCTCCCAGCAACAGTTCTGTGGTCATGGGGCCAACACTGGGCTCAGGCTGAGAGAGAAGAATCTCCCAGCCCAGATCCCATGACCATGGGGCTTGTGCTAGAAGATCCTTATCTCCCAGCACCCGCCTTGTGACTGCAGGACTTGGGCTGGGGAGATAAGGATCTCCCAGTGCCGGCCCCACGATCGCAGAACAGGAGCTGGGAGCTGCCTTGTGCTGGGGCAGGGGGATGTTGTTCCTGCCTGGGTTCCAGTGGCAGAGTCCACCCCAGCATCAGGCAGCTCCCAGGGACAGGGAGCAATCTCCTGACCCCTGCTGCTCAGTTGACCAGGAGCACATTTGCTCCCAGTCAGGCATTTATACCTGCACTACTGCACAGTAAGTAATCTCAAGTATATTCGCTACTTGCATTTATAGGTAGCAAATTTACTTGTGAATAGAGCCAATTACATAAGCATTTGCATGTGTAGATGTGGATGCTTACTGGACACTAATTAGCTCTGCTGCACAGTGAGACCTCTCATGTAGATGCGCCTGGTTTAGTTTAGAAGGATTCTTTTGTGAGGGACAACAGAAATCAGAAGTCAGAAGCTACCAGTTATAAACTAGAGGGTAAGCTGGGGTCAAAGCAAAGTTTTGAGAGGTGGGGGTTTTGAGCAGCATGTGTGATAATTTATGAGCAGTCAACAAAATCCCAACGTCTGTTATTTTGTCAAGAAGTCATATATAACAAAAGAATCACATGTGACTTGTCAGTATTTTGTCTATGCTTTATCATAGGGCTGTGCAAAGCTTTAGTCCCTGATTTGATTTGGCGGAGATTCAGCCTGATTTGGTAGCTGAATCTCCGAATCCAAATCAAATCAGAGGACCCTTTAATCTCTCCAAATCGAATCGGAACCCTTCAAATTGATTTGAAGAGATTCAGAAAGATTCAGCAATTTGGACATACAGACAGCTTTAAATGTTTTTTTCTACATACCTCTAGGTAGCAGGGGCTCGTGAGTGCTGCAATGCTGGAGCACATGGAGCGTCCCACAGAAGCATGGGAGACTCCCCAGCGTACTCAGCAGCAGACCCAGAAGTGGACCAGTAGCACTTCCAGTCCACTTCCAGATCTGTTGGGGAGCACACTGCCCCCCCGCGCGCACACCCTTTCTGCTCGGCGATTGGTGCCTCCTGGGTCGGGGAGGTGGCAACTGGGGTTCCCCTGCAGCCAATCGCTGAGCTGGGGGCATGCAGGGGGCTCCCCTAGCATGCTCCCCGGCAGACCTCGAATGGGACCAGAAGTACTGGGTCCCAGACCTGGAATGGAACCAGTCCATTTCTGGGTTTGCTGCCAAGCACATGGAGGGCCCCGCTCCCCCCCGCACTCCTGTGGGATGCTACATGCGCCCCACCATTGCAGCGATCACGAGCCACAGCTCTTACCTTAAGGTATGTAGAAACAACTTTTAAAGCTATGTCCTAATTGCTGATTCTCTGAATCAGCATCAAATCTTCAGATTTGGATTCAGCTGAATCGAATCAGGGACATTGATCTGAATCAACAAATCGAATCACTGTCCCTGATTTGGGCCAAATCAAATCGAATAGGACCCACTTCGCACACCCCTACTTTATAATCTTTTTATCTTTGGGACCTTCTAGCACTAGAAGGTTACATAAAATGAGTGGATGTAGGATTTTGAAATGGGTGGGTGCAGCAGCTCCACTTCCCCTTTTAAAGCAGATAAAATATACATTTGTGCATACCCTGAGTTACCACAGTTAAATGTGGGACCCTCAAAAATAGGGAAAACTAGGAAAAAAAAACATTTTAAAACTAACAATCCTTTTTTCCTTTCACATTTTTCATTGTTTCTTCTGTTTGCTAATATCCAAACTATTTATTTTTCATTAGATGGAGCTGTGAAGCCATAAAATTAAGTTGAGGACAGTAAAAGTATTTCTCTTACAACAGATTTTGATGGTTTTAGCACAACATTATTGCTTGTCTGGCAGCATCTGTCTGGTCCTTTGGCCCCATCATTGCAGTATCTCTGAATCTGCCATTACAGTTGTTCTAGGGTTAGGTTAGCCAGCTAAAGCATTGGGCCTTAATCCTAAAATAGCAATAATAATAAAATGTAAAACCTGGTGTTTTTACAGCACTTTTCATCTCATTATAACAACAAAGCTAATTCTAAGAACAGTACCTACAACTGTAATTTCTTATCAG